CCAAGGTGACTGCGGCCGGGCCGGGCCGGGGCGGCCTCGCCGCGCCTCCGTACCCTTCCTCTCGGGGGGGCGGCTCCTCCTTTGTCCGTCTGTGCTTCGGTCATTCGGGCTCTGGGGCTGACGGCACCTCCCGGCCCCGCTGCCTGCGGGGCGTTCCTGGGCGGCCAGGGCAGAGACAGAGGCGCGGGGGGGGCGGCGGGGTTTTGCGCCGGTGGTGGTGCTGCCGCCTTTGGCTGGTTTTAAATTGCTACTTTTTCCTTAAAAAGCAAACCAAAACTTGGCATTGCCCGGTCGTTCTGGTGGGGGTGCGAGCGAAGTCGGTCGCAGCGCGCAGTTGAACGGGACGCGTGGCGGTGTGCGCGGTGGCATCGTGTCTTTGACCTCCGTGACTGAGTTTTCACCTCAGGTTGCGTGCTGGTTTAAATATCCTTTCTGGCTCAAAGCCCACCTGTCCTGGTTTCGGCTGGGACACGGTTAGTTTTTCATTTCAGCAGTCAGGAGAGCTCTGTGTTTTGGTTTTAGTCTGGGATTCGTTATGAGAAGAATGCTGACAGCGCACTGATGTTTGTAGTTGGCGCTGAAACCTCAAGGACTTTTCAGCTGCCGTGTTCTTCCCAGTGTGCAGGAGCACAGCAGGATTGGGGGGAGCATAGCCGAGACAAAAGGTCCACAACTCCCCTTACGATTTGGACGAAATTTTTTGCTTTTTTTTGCATATGCATTGCGGAAAGAGCTAGCTAATTCTCTGTTTCTGTTTTGGATTTTTTTTTTTTTTAGCTGAAACATCAGTGTCATCATGATTTTGCATCAGATTCTGCGACTTTCTTCCCTTTTTCGCTCTGCTGTTTCCATTCACTTGCGCAGAAACATTGGGCTTTCAGCTATTGTCTTTAATAAGGCAAAAGAGCTTGATCCAGTTCAGAAGCTCTTCTTGGACAAGATCAGAGAATACAACACAAAGAGCAAGTAAGTAAAGGGAATTATTTTAAGGCTGATGGCAAAAGGGGAAAAATGTTGATTCTGACAAGTGTTAAAATATTTTAGCTCTGAATAGTATTCAGCTTGGTCTCTGAATACTTAAGGTATGTTTCTACATCAACAGCAACATTGTGTTAAGTGCTGAGGTTACCCAGGAGCAGACTGAGTTATTTCAAAAGGCATTTAACTGTTTGACATCTTACACTGATAACCTGATCTTGGTCTGGTAGTGATGGAGTGAAACTGGAAAGAAGAGCTTCTTGAGGCAAATTTCTCTTTTAACTTCTGAGAGCCCACGTAAAGCTGGGTAGAAGTATTTCACAAAAATATTTTAGCTTTGGGTGAAGGATGGCACAATTGTTTGTTGGTTGGGGTTTTCTATGGTAGAAGCATAATACTTTTTTGCAGCTTTCACTGACAGACTTCGTTGGTATAAAATGATAGTTTAAGTAGAAGGTATTCCCCGGTTTAAAGCTAAATTTAGAGCAAACCTAGCTCTTGTGCTCTAAAAGAACACCTGAAACCACTGACATATTGGCTGACATGTGGTGAGAGTTCTCCTGTTGGTGGTATGTGCTGGTGCAACAATATATTGAGAAGGTGGCATTGGTAGTGTTGAAAATGGAAAATTCTATTTTTTCCCCCTGTGGCTCAGTAGAAAGTTGCTTTATTAGTGCATTGACCATTCTGAAACAAATTTCTAGTTTGCTCACAAACAACCTGAGTGAGTTTAATTCTGCTCTGAAATTTCCAGCAACACTTGTTGCTAATGTCATGAATGAGAAGGCTAGTTCTTGCATGCTTGACAGAAAATGTCCATTTTTCCCTCTTTTTTTAAAGAAAAAAAAAAAAGTAAAGCTGATGTCGTTCTTCTTAGGGAGTTAAGGCAATGAAGTTTTTGTACACTATGGAAACATAACAGTATGTTATTTTTTACCTATATATGTGCTCTGTAAATATAAAAAATCCCTCTTTTTTTTTTTTTTTGGTCTGGGGAAAATGGATATTCTTCAGTCTTTTTTCCAGAAGCTGAATGGAAATGGCCTCCAAGAGCAACTGAGAATGAATGGAACTGTGAGGCTGGTTCATTAAACATCTTAATAAGTAGTTAATTGAAACGTAATCTTAGATTCTTGTAATATTGAAATGAACTATTTAATAGGAAACTAAGACTAGAGTAATTCTGTGAAATTTATTCTTGGGAAAGAAATAAGCCACTTAGTTCTACTGGAGGAAAGTGCATGTTTCCACACTTTCAAACTAGCCCGTGTAGGGAAGTATATTTTCAGTGGCTTTACCAACCACATGCGATACCTGTGTTGGTACTACTGAGCAGTGGTAACCTAAAGAGTTACTATTTTTATTTGTATTGTACTCTTAAGAAATTCCTATGTGAATCTATATGAATGTCCAGTGCTCTGTCTCTTGGTTTTTTGCTTGTTTAGCATTCAAATTGTGTCCTCTTTGCAAGAATAGTTAAACTGTATTAACCAAGATGACTAATTCAGAAATAGCAGAGGTACAAATCTAAATTTTGTCAAGAAAACACATCTGAGACAGATGAAACTAAGCCTGAAAGCCTGGGTACTTAGTGTAGTTGTGTGTCTCAGAAGGCTCCCTCTGTAGCATGGGTTTTCTTTGTTGATAGCAGAAAGCCTGTGCCTTACCCTGAAACCTTCTTTATGTGTCAGGTAAGCAGGCCCTACTGTGTGTCATACCTTGACTTCTGAATATTTCAAGTGGTTTGTTGCTTTACTTGGTTGTCAGATTGTTTTTTTTTAAATTTATAAATGGCCATGAAAATGTAGAACCTCCACATGAAAATTCAGAACTGAACTGTTAATCAGAACTTTTAATGTTTTTTAGGCAAGCTGGAGGGCCTGTTGATGCAGGCCCTGAGTTTCAGAAAGACATGAACGAATCCCTTGCTAGACTTCAACGGATGTATGGTGAGGGAGATCTAACCAAATTTCCAGAATTTAAATTTGAGGGTGAGTTAACAATCTTATTGAACTTCTAATTGCAAGTAAGGACATGTTCATTAACTGGTTTTCTTACTAATTCCCATTTAGTTTTTATTTGGATCATTAATTTCATGTCACATGCCCTCAGTGAACATCCTGACTTTTGTACAGTTCACATCTGATTCCATCTGACTCTTTTCTGTTTCTTTGGTTTGCTTTTTAAATTATTTGCCTTTTTCAGTAAAGATGTAGACTTACTTACGCTGATGCTTAACCAACCTTGCAGGCAGACCAGGCTATCTTAATTACCCTTCACAGACCCTCACGAAATAGCCTAAATATAAATAGAAATAGCCCAGGGCCTATTGTTACTTTTTTTTTTTTCTCATCCTCCCAAAGAGGTCAGCAGGTTATAATTTGAAAATCAGTTGTGTATGTCATCCAAACTGCCATTTCTAAATTTTGTAAGCTCATCTGGAGAGTCAGCGATTTCAGAAAATGAACATAGAACTTAACTTTGTTAATTTCGTCACAATGTAGTCATAACTATGTTAAACCTTTTTCTTCAGTTACTTAGGTATGGCTTGCGTTTAAGTGCCCTAAGTTTGTGTTAGCATGTTTTCATATTACCCAGATTGATTATGACAAGAAGAATGCTTGTGATGATTGGTTTCTCAAGAATGCAAAGAAACTGCACAGACTCTGCCTTAGGACATAAAGGCAACTTTTTTTTTTTTGTAGGCAGGCTCATTTCTAAAGTTGTTTGGGTTTTTTGCTTGCTTATGTAAGTACAGCTCAAAGTCTTACTTGCTCACAAGCAGTTTTAGCTAAAGTCGAGTTTTGAGGGAGTAAGCTGTCTTTCTGATAAGCTGTAAGCAGCTGGTAGCTGGGATTCAGCAATCTTTTCAGTGTGCCAGTGAATTTGGTTTCCGTGGCAAGGTTTTGGTAGCAGGGGGCTGCAGGGGTGGCCTCTGTGAGAAGAGGCCAGGGGCTGTCCACACATCAGACAGAACCAGTTCTAGCCAGCTCCAAAATGGACCCACTGCAGGACACAGCTGAGCCAGACAATGATGCTGGTGGCACCTCTGTGACAACGTATTTAAGAAAGGGTGGAAATTGCTGTCTCTCCTCTCAGCCCTCCTGTGGAGAGGAGGGAAGGAATGGGAGAGTGAGAGACTTGGTGTGCATTTGGCAGCAGCAAAGGTCAACCCACCATACTCAATGACTTGTAATTCTGATCAGACTAACTGGAAATTCTGATTTAGAGTAGAAGCACACCTAAAAATGTTTTGGGGTTTGGTGGTATTTCAGTTGGATTAGGGAAGAACTTGGTGTCAGACTGTTGCTGGTGCAAATACAACAGAGCATCTGTAGAGTAGGATCTATGGTGTTTCTTTTTTTTCCCCCCTCCAGTTTTAGGGATGTAGGGATTTTTCTTAATAGTAAGTTTTATTTCTATGTAATATGTGACACAATACATATTACAATTTAGGATGTTTCTGTAATGAAACAAAATTCGTGTGCCCACAGGAACAGAACAAAGCGGGGGGGAAGCCATGTTCTTCTACCACTGTTGCCTATCCTTAATCTAATTTCAACAAGTTTTCAAAACTAAGCAGCTAGATGGGTAGAAACTTAATTTTTTGTCTTATTGAAGATTACTGTAAGCTGTGCCTTACCTCTCAGACTCTTTGTAGCAAAGACAACAGGCATTAATAGCCCACCTGTCAAAAGCCCTAACTCTTCTGAGCTTGTACCTTTGCCATCAAGAACTTCTTCCTCAGTGTTTGCATGTGGGGAATATCTTTTGCTGAGTGGAGTTAAAATTGTGCACTCTATTCTCTTAATCAGCTATAAGACCCTAATCAAGAAGAGCTTGGTTACTTGTTCTTGTATCATAGCTGTGTTGGAAATACTAGTGTCGTCCAGTAACATTCTGGTCAACTACTTCAGTTTCTCTGCTGCCTTCTCCCCTACCCCAGGTGTTACTCAAAGGTGTTTTGGCAGGCTGTTACTAAGGTGTACGTCTGTCCGAAACCTTATGCATAACTGCTCTAAGGTGGGAAAGACCTGTCTCCAGTGCTGCCCATGTCCAGTCGTACCCCGATACAAACAAAAGTGGTGTAGACTGCAACGTACAAGAACTTGCTTTAGCTAGCCAACTTAATGTTTAGTTTTCTTTGAGTAACAAATAAATGGTGGTGTTTGAGGCTGCAATAAAAAGTGACTAATATGAGTCTTCTCTCTCCCCTTCCTCTAGAGCCCAACTTTGAGGAGACTCCGAAGTGATGTCTGCAGGTTGTACACCAAACAGCAGTGTACATAAGGGAGTTGCTGAACATGGCACCAGTTGTAACTTAATAAACACAGTGTTTCAGTTTGATTTCAGAAGTGTGAGTAAGTTCTTATTTGCATGGTCAGCATAGTTAGCTATGATTGTCACCCCTATGAAGCTACTGAGGCATCAGAGTAGTGTTTCTCACTGTGAACTGCAAAACTCCTTTGCCAAGCTACATTTTAGTTATAACACTGACAACGATACACCAAGAAGGAACTTGGTTTTTTGAGTGTGTCACATCCAAAAAGCTTCTGCAGAAGAAAAACCCACAAACTCTAAATTTGTAGCAAAGCCTTACGGTAGTGATGGACCTGCACAGCCAAAAGAGTAAGCACAAGTATACTAATTTTACACTGCATCAATCAACACACAAGTGATGAAGTGTTACTCTTACAGAAGCAACTGAAACCTGTTAAGGAGGCTGTGAGATTTAAACTTCAGTAACTGAATTATTGACACACACACTTCAGGTTCTGAAGAACTATTTATTTGTGACACTTCAACAGTTAGGGTCCAGGTACTACAGCTTAAGTTGTACTGCCATGATTTTTCTTCAGAGTGAGGTTACGTATGCAGTCTACAGCAAGAGAGATATACTTCCTTGGGAAAGAGAAGCTGTAGGCATTTTATACCAGATGATAAAACACTGCTTGAGCTCCAGTTAGAGGAAGCTTTATTCTGTGAGGACAGTGAGTTTAAGTTTGCGTGTCTGCTTATGCACTTATAGATGGCTTTGGCAAATCTAATACAATGCCAAGGGTACTAATAAAGTAGAATCGCAGGAGAGCTGGAGTCCTCGACAGTGACAGAGACATAAGTAGTAGAAGTAGTGGTAGCAAGGTCATCTATGAAAGTTACTTGAACAGATTGTTCCAAGCTGTAGGAGTGAATCATGTATTGCTGCATGTACACGTGAACAAAATGAGAAGTCTTCACACAAATTGACTTGTATATTCAATTTAGTTTCATCTTTAAGTTAAGGGGTTTTTTTTGTTGTTTTTGTTTGTTTTTTTAAAAAAAAGCAATCACAGGTTGACTAGATCTAAATATTGGCAGTTCCTATTTTCAGCATGTAGTACGTGGAAACAACATTTACAGAATAGAGGTCTAAAGATCCCTTTGATACTTTCGTATAACAAGTAGTCATTTGCTGTCCCTCACAGAGGCTGAAATCTTCTAAATAACAAAGGACTTGGTGTGCTTGAAATCCTAAAAGAAGCAAACAAGGTTACATAAGTAATAGTTCAGAGTTTTTAACCAGATTAACATGTGGTGTACATTTCAGAAGAAACTATGGCATTGAGATTGAAAAGAAGCATGCCTGCAGCACTGTTAGTTAATGTTTACTCGTTTCTGGAAAGGGAAGTCTACAGAATGCACTGTTCATAGAAGTAATAAACTATTAAAAAATACAAGTATCAAACAGCTCTGTTGAGCACCTGATTCATAAATGCATTAATACTGATAAGCAGGTACCGCAGCTCTTCAAAGTTTGCTCCTTTCCACTCAGAGCAGCCAGGCAGCTGGCTGCTAAGTTTCTTACATACGTATTAGGTGAAGAAATGCGCTTATGCTGTTTGTTATGGCTGCTGTTCAGTGAGGTTCTGAGGCTACTAACATAGCCTTAAATAGAAATACTGAAATTAAGTTGCTCCTAGCTGAAGCTTTAGTTGGAACTCTGTTCTTTTTGCACCAATCTGAAAAGCTGGAGCATTGTACCTGCAGTTAAAAGTCCTTGAGCCCTCAATGAGGAAGGGAGGAAAAAAGTAGTCGGTTTAGCTTCCATATTTAGTCAAGCTTGAGCCCTCAATGAGGAAGGGAGGAAAAAAAGTAGTCAGTTTAGCTTCCATATTTAGTCAAACCTTTTGACCCACATTAATGTTAAAGGAATTAAGGCCCATATGTTCTCTCACTGCTGCCTTGGACGGTGTGTGAGTTATGTTTCCTTGGTTAACCAAAATGCGCAAGGCAAGGCAGAGTGAAAGACTTCACAAACAAGAAATGGCATCGTTGAGTGGACAGTACAGAGATGAGATTACCAAATAATGTAACTGTGTTACCTTTTTAGTTTATCTGATGGAAGGAAACTAATTGGGAAAGAGGAGAGAAAAGAATGAAAGAAGCTAATAGAGCAGGGAGATGTAGGAAGAAGTAGGTAAAAGACAACCAGGTAAAAATCTTGTTAGTGTGGTAAAAAAAAAGATGCCAAAGTATGAAGCAAGGTGCTGTAGTTGTACGGCACTTGAGGCTAAGTAATAGGAAGCTATAAATGCACACAGAGAAGGCATCTCCAGGTATTGGTGGCTTGAAAGGTTTGGGGAGGTGTGCAGAAACATCACAGATATAAGGAATTCTGAAAATGTGTAAAACTTTTTAAGCACACTACTGAATGCAAAATACTTGCCTTTTCACTCGTAGATTGATAATTGGTCTTCTTTCTGTTAACAGGAAAGGAACATAGGTTAAATAGTGACTTTTCTGGTGTTAGTTTTAACCCTTTGAGAGCCTTATTGATGAATGCATTTTTCCTGATTTCCAGCAATCCTTAGAGTTTTTTCCTTCTTAGAAAAAAAGTTACAATAACAAATCCATTGAATGCTTTTAGACAGCTGTCATTATCTCTTGAACCACTGCCAAATTACCTTCCCTAGCTTGTCTTTTTAGTGCTTCCAGTTACGCTTTTTGTCTCATTCATGGCCAGTATAAACAGCACAGTATTTTAAAGTACTATTTGTATTTCTCTTTAGTACTACTTTTTACCTGCTATTACCTAGAAGAGCTAAGATAAACTTTTAAAAGCAAAACAAAAAAATTAATTCGGGGGCAGCCTCCAATGAAGCACACAATTTTAGCCTTGTTTGGGAGCACTAAAAATAGCTTGAGGAATTCTGACTTGCTACTAAGAAATTTACTTAAAAATTAAGTAGTAATTAAGTAGTTCAGAAATTAAAGGAGTAGACCACACTCAGAAATTTTCCACTCCTCACACTTTTACAAAATATTTCCTGAAATAATCTGTAGACATGGATATGAAGACAGTTCAATTTGTTTCTGAGCATCTTTTGTCCAGTTTGGAGACAAGTGCATGCATGTAGCTGAGTTAGGGGTGTAAACCATAACTATGTAAAAAGACACACCTCTGCACATTCATCACAGTAGTAATGCTTAATTCATTTTCTGACCAGCACACTAGTTCTTATTAGCTGGTGTGTTCAAAAAAGCCACTGTACAAGAATCGTGCTGATTGTTTAAGGCCTTTCTCATAGTAACTAAATCATCAGAAACCTAAGTTAAGTTTGCAGTGATTTGTGCACTACTTGTGTCAAGATACTTACTGGGAAGAGCTTTCATCTGAAAATGAAACAAAAAAAAAATTAGCACAAGAACATTTTCCATAGCTGCTTTAAAGTTCTCTGAAATGGTTATTCATCACTTATTCAGCTCTTCAGTTTCTAGGAGTTTTTGAACCAAATGTCTTTTTGCTGTAAGTTGCTTTCAGAGGTAAATAAACTTCCAAGTGAACAGGAACTCTTACAGCAGCTCCCTTAGCCTGTTACTTTCAGGCAGCAGACCTTCTCAGACCCCGACATTTGGCATCCCTTCCTGCTGTGCTGCACTCTACAGGCACTAGTGTAAACGCCTCGGAGAGGGTTGCTGGGTGTCGAGATTTTTGCAGCCATCCTTAAAAGCAAGTTTTCTCTACGTGCACTTTCGCCACGACCCAGGAGAGGGAGCCAGTAATTTAGCTTCCCCTTCGCCAGAACTCGGCCGCTCAGGCCTTTTAGACTACGAATGGATTTGCATGGCTCGTTTTCATGTTGCCTTTTCTTTGCAGTCCCTTCTCAAAACTAGAGTGGAGATACTCTTGGAACTAGGGTTAGGCTCGTTGTTCTCCCTAGACTGCTGTTTGGTAGCTTTATGCAACTGCACAAACATCTCCGTGTCATTCTTAAAAGTATCTTCTGCAGTAGAAGCTGGCAGGATAAAAAAGTCTACACAACAAAGTTGCTGTTGTAATGCGCTTTAGCACCATGGAGTGAGAGCATTCATGAAAAGGAGCACGTTACAGTCAGAAGTACAGACTTTTTTTGACACAAGGAAGGAGTGATTTTACTTTACTTACTTGTAAAGTAGCCCTTTTTTTGGGCATAAAATACTCCAAGGCCACACAATGCCATTACCAGAGCCACACATACTACTGCAGTGATGATACCACTTACATTAAGGTCATCTGTAATTATAAAACATAAGTCCTATGTTACAAGTTGTAAAAATTTCCATTGGCTGGATTTTTTTTCCCTAATTACTACAGGCACCTTTGGCCCAAGCTACATAAATTTATTAATAAAACACATAGATGTAGATAAGCAGTCCAAAAGCATTACTGTATCACAGCCACGTTAACAGTAGTGTCCAATACACTTCAACTCCTTAGTTCAGGTCAAAAGTAAGGAAAGAAAAAGAGGGATCAACGGATACATACTCCTTATTATACCTATCCCCACTAAGTATTATTCAAGTCATGTATCTCTAAGGGAAAATACCTTGAAGTATTTTTAAAGTCTTAAAACAAGTGTTTTCATGTACTTAGTTTGCCTAAAATAATGGAAACAACCGATGACAGTGTCAGATCTCAGTCCTGAAGAACTCCTCAGGTGAGTTATTTAAAATTCAACACTTTATTTTTAAACAGCAATTAAAATTCAACACAAGAGAGGCCAACAAATATTTTAGCCTGAATGCTTGAAGTTAAACTCTACACTGGGCTACCAAAACATCTAGCCATTTTTATTTTGAAGGCGACGACCCATGCCCATTTCCTGACAAAATCACTAAAAGTTTCAGACAATCATCTATTTTAGGAAAAGCAAAAACATCAGCAAGCAGAAGCATTTTCATAGGTTTTTGTTATTTGTCTAATTACTTATTTGGATCCTGACTTTAAGCATACAGTAACACATGGTTGGGAATTTCACCCCCAAATCTATCAATTTTTGTGCACTGGTTGACAGCAATTTATGACTTCCGTGAGTACTTCCACAACAGGAGGATC